CTGAATTTTTTTTTATTTTTTTCATTTCTAGTTGGAGTTTTCACTTTGCTATATAATTAAAAATGATTTGGATAGTTTTTTTTGACGAATATTATATTATTGTTTCTGAAAATAATCGCTTGTCAAGGAGTCAGAAAAATTTAGGAAAGGTTTTAGCAAATGAATATATAAAGGAGGCAGGTACTTCATGAATAAAACTCACCAAACAAGAATAATTTTTGATTAGTTTTACAGACGATAATCGGGTTAATGGAGATGAATAGAATAATTTATTTGGCGAGGAAAATGAGATTTTGCGGAAATACAACTGATTGATACTAGATAAAATATTTTCCAATACATTGAGGACTACATTTCCTCCTGTGTGTGTTTCGCTTGCGGTCGAGTAAGATATTGAAGTGATCCTGTTGGTTTTCTCAAATAGAACTGTACTAACACGTATTACAACTCATCTGCTGCTCAGGAACAGCAGAAATGACTGTCCATTTCTTTTAAATATCTAAGAAGCACGACAGTCTCATTCAGTTCAGGTATCTTCTAGATCTAGATGTACAGTTTCCAGTGAGTCGCCCTATAAATACTTTGTAATTACTGACTGAATGAAAGAAGATGAGATACATTGAAAACTTTTTACATCGTTTACAATGAAATTTCTGTTTGGCCAGTGAGAGAACAAATAAAGGTGAAAAATTATACATTCATGCATATATACATATGGAACAATAAATCAAGAAAATGTATAGTAATAATAATAATATTGAAAGTGTCGACCCGAGCAATGAGAAATTAAAAATCACAAACATGTGGAAAGAGTTTCAGGAAACTCAATAATTCTACAAGAACAAAAGCACAGAAGATATTGCCTAATTTTTTTATTGAAAGTTTTCAAGTGAAGATATTTCATGTCATTCAATAGATAATTGTGAGATCTACCTACAATCAGAGAATTATTCCGACATCCGCTGAATCTAAACCAGAATTTCGCAGTTACTAGTATTGTGATTGTTTACTTCGGAACATCGAAGATACTGATGTTGGGTTTTATGAATTCCCAAAAGATTTTTTTCATAAATAAAAGTTTAAGTTGAAAGCATTACCTACTGTATTTTCAACTATCCGTAACTATCACTTAGTTCCACGAGACATATTATTTTCATAATATTTCCTGAATGCATGATACTTACTGATCCATATTCGAATTCGGAATACAAAAGTACAAAGTAGGCTTTCATCAGAGCGTCAAAGTTCAAATGATCTCGAAGTGGTTTGCAAAACAAAAATGCTAATTTTTTTAAGAGGCCTTCAATGTGAGTTGACTATGATCGTTTTAATGTTAATTCTAGGCTTCATTTCCTTTCTGAATGTTTATGTCGCAATGAATTTTAGGAATATTTGGACTCCGATGACTTCGATGACAGGTCATCGGACAGCAAGCCATGATGGTTAAACCTCTGAAGAAGCTAGCCACTCGCGCCAGCGAAACGTCAGGAAGAAATTCCAAAAATTCACGGCTTTCAAATTCGAAAAACAGTGACACTGTTTTTTCAATGATATAACCCCAATTATCCTAACGAGTAGTTTTTTTTGTAAATGGTATAAAATTGAATGACCTCAAGGCCTCCGCCAAATCTCCTATTTTCTCAGTATGAAAGTAATCCTAATCATTATCCTTGTTTAAGCTATGTATCCCAACCAAACTTGATCTGAGAATTACAAACAGTTTTCACTGGATGAATATTGTCTAGTCCCGACAAAAATTAATGAATACTGTTTCAATATTTTTACTTAGTAGGATCTGGTCAATGTCATTCAAATTATTTCCCTGGCTTATATCTTCAGTGTAAGTTTCCTCACAAAGAAACACTTCTGTGCAAGTTTCTGCACAGATGAATTTCTTTCCAAGACTTCTCATTTGTTCAGTAACAAGCCTTTCCTGAAATAAGTCAAGTGATCACCTATAAACCAGTTTCGAAGTAACTCTCCTCATCAATTCAGGCTAGATATAACCCATATTTATGTCTTGACTCTCGACTGATTCCATTGACTCCAATAACTCCATACAAAAATGTGTAGATCATGTGAAGAGGTAACTTTCAGACACAAACTGAAAGGAAAATCCCTCTCGAAACAACTAGTTTCATGTAAATGATGAATAACACGAAAACCAATTTTATTCAGCATTTACATGAAACTAGTTGTTTCATGTTTTTCTCTATTCCGTTTCTATTCCAATCATTCGTAATGGAATCGAATCAGATATCATTCTCAGGATTCCTACACAATATAATTGATGAATGAAGCAAATGCAGATAACATTATAAGGAACAACACTCAATTCGATCATAAAATTACGACTTTACGTCAAGGTATAGGTTGAATCCCCCCATGTCATCGATGACAGTACGTAAATAACATTCATTCGCTTATTTGATTCAATCACAGCCATAGAAATCTTGTTTAAATTGAAAGAGTATATTTTTAGGAGAGCATGAAAAAGTCGCGTAGGTCCAAACCTGGAAAATACGGTAGATGCGTCCTTCAAACGCTCCAATAACACTGTGTAATAGTCGCTTAACGCTGTGTAATAGTCACTCTTGATGGTTTTTTCATGTTCAAGAGAGTCGATGAATATTATACCATGCGCATCACAAAATACTAATAACATAACCTTACCAGCAGACTGTTGTATCTTTTGCACGCTTTGTAGTCAGTTCCCCACATGCAGTCCACTGAGATGTCGATAGTTTTGATTCTGGTGTGAAATGATGGAGCCATGTTTCATCCATTGTCACATGTCGACTCATAATTTTGGGTTTCTTAAGGTGACACAGCTTCAAGCATTGCTCAAAATAATCAATTCTTTGTTGTTTTTGGCTGATTGCGAGCTCGCACGGCAACTACTTTGAAAAGATCTTTCATATACCCAAATATTCATGCAGGACGTATCTAAAACTTTTTTTGATATCTCAAGAGCCTCAACTATCTTGATCAACTCTACTTTGCGGTCATCCAGAATTATTTTGTGAACTTTTTTGATATTCTTGTTGGTAACAGCCTCATTAGGACGTCCTCGATGCTCATTTCACCTCATTCAAACTTAGCAAACCACTTCTCAACGGTTGATTTCCCTGGTGCGAAGTTCGAATAATGCTTATCAAGCCGAGCCTTGGCTTGCTAAAAATGAATGAAAATTGTTTTCATTAATTTTCTTCAAACTAACAAAAGTTGCTTCCCTCAAAATGTTCTATCCCACAAAGTAATAGTTCGACAGCTTTAAAATTTGTACACGTGTCTATTGAAGGGTAAGGTTAACTAAAAATCATATGGATACTTTACTAGTAGCGCCATATGTGTGTTAGTCTACGAACTTTTCAGCCCACCTAATACTTCCCAAGCCACATACTGTATTCTGTTCAAAATCTGTTTTTCCGTTAATCAGCTGTCGCCCCCATACGAACGACAACTGTCAGAAGTTGAGAAACTTATGCGAGCTGAGGACTAACGAGGCCTTACTTTTTAACGTCCTCACACGGTATCGGCTACCTACTTGACGAAAGTAGTCTCAGACTAACCCCAATCAGGTCCTCACAAGATTGAGGGCATGGCAGAGCGTCTTCCTGAAATGAGTCACAGAAGACTTACCTTCCAAGCGATACTCAACTCATGAAGGTAGTTACATACACTAGTACAAAACCTTCGATCAGGTCTTCACTAAATTGAGTAAAATGTACCATGGTCAGTTAACCTTTGGGGTAAATATTCTTCACAGGGAAAATTCTTCACTAGTAGCAGTAAATATAGATTGAAGAAAATAACTTTTGTCTAATTTCTACCAAGATTTTCATTTGTTACGACCATTTTCGGTTCACAGATGTAAGTGGAATAATCGAACATATATAGACTAGAATGTAGTGACTGTTCAACATTTATATATAGAAATCTACAAGAAACAAATCACACAATAAATAAAGAAAACATGAAAAATCTCTATGCGTGCAATAAAGGGAGGGAGATGAATTTGTTGGAATTATTGGAAATAAATAAATTGCATAAAAACCCCAATTTCAAAACCCTCAGTGACCAACTCTTTCCCCTTTTGAATTTGTGAATTTTTGGCAATTGGCATTGGTATTTGGAGCAATCCACAAGTAGTCTTTCTGGATCAATAGTCGGTAATATTGATAGGTTATAGGTTGATAGGTTATAAAAGTTAAATAATTATTGTTGTGGTATCTCAGACAAGGTATTGATAATTCAGGTGACATTTTTATTATTTCAGGTACCTATTGTAGGTACCAAAAGGACGTTGTCAAAATGCGTCAGTTTAGTTGGCGAGTGCATCTTCAAGTGAACACTGCAGGCCATTATTCATTCGATATAGTTTATCAACAATGCGTAGTTTGTATATCTACCAAACTTTGATATATATAAAAAAACAATATTTCAATTATTCCTAGAAATGAGCAAATCCATGAACATTTCACCCTGTGGGGTTAAGCTATATTATAAGTTCAGTGAGAACATTAAATCCTCAAATATCAATGTCATACTACTTTGTGGATAACTTTCTCCTTGAATCCTAGTTTGATTTTAGCTTTTCAAGTTACTCTTTTTTATAGTATGTTTTATGTTTCACATTGACTTTTTTATGTTTGTTTGACCTGTTGAATCAGCCAGTCTTTTATGATGATGTTATGTATTTTTGTCTAATGTTACTGTGAAGGAGAACTGATTCAAAAAATGTTTGATTGATTGATTGTAGTGCCTCTGCATTACTGCAGGTTTTCAACATTCAGGAAAGTATCACTGTGCCATATCTATTTATAGACCTCTCAAAAGTTTATCAAATGACCGATATTCTGCAAATGCAATATTTCTTCAAAATTTTTCAAATTGAAGGTTTTTTGTAGCAATAAAAGTCTGTGGATAAGAGTTAACATATAATATATATTCAGAGATTCTGTAGTTACATTTTTCAAATGAGATAAATAAAACCACAACTGATTATCCAGACTTCAAATTATATTTTATCTTTAACGTGTTCACAAAAGCTCTTAGAGAATAATTTTACTTGGTATAATTTACAGAAAATACAGCCCTCTTTGGCGGGAGAAACATAGAGTGTTACAATATTCATAAATAATTATATAATGTCTCAATGAATGTGGGTGGAAAATTAATGAAAAGCTCAAAAAATTATAAAGATGATATGTGACAACATTTAAAAGACACGTTTCACATTCACCATTTACTTACACAAATTTTCAGATATATATATAATATTTACAGTCAAATTAGCAAAGAATAATAACTGAAGCTTTGTCCATTCACATAACCTTCATTTTATTTACAAATTTTACATAGAGTATCACTTTTAGCGGGGGCCGCACGCTAGCGGGGGTAGCTGGGATACAGCAGCGTAGGGCCCCACCTGCCTCAAACCAGACCCGGAGGTTTAACGTCTAGTCCCGTCACCATATCTAGGCCCATGTTCGAAGGTGGAGGCGTTTGATTCATCGACGCAGGAGAATTAACATTATTCGTCATATCGCTTTGGCTGTTTTCTTCAGAATCACTGCAACTATCTGAACTTCCTTTCTTACCATTACCATTATGAGTTTTAACATGTTTAGCTAAGTGGTCTGACCTCATGAATCTCTTATTACAAACTGGACAGGCAAATCGTTTTTCACCTGTATGGGTCCTGAGGTGCCTCTGAAGCTCGTCTGACCTGGTGAATCTTTTGCCACAAAACAGCCAGTTACATACAAATGGTCTTTCGCCAGTGTGCCATCGAAGGTGAGCTTTCAAATGGGACGTCTTTCCATAAACTTTTCCGCAACCAGGAATGTGACAGCTGTGAATATTTTTCTTTCTTAAGTGTACACCTGCGGGTCCCAGTCGTTCAGCTTCTTGGCAATTGGGACAGTCACAGGTTGCTCTTCCAGTATATCTCCTCTGGGATCTTGGTGAGGGGACTTGAGGAGGTAAGCCACCACCGCCACCCGTAGGTGAAGGTGCTGATCCAGGTCCATGCAAACCAAATGAAGCACCTACAGTCTGAGCACCTGGCAACATGGATTTATATGTGTCTTGTAACAAATGTTGTCCAGAGGAGAGGAGGTGATTAGAAGCCGCGAGAGAATGAGTTAAGCTGGAATAGTCAGTTGAATAGTTAGCTGCTGCCATTTGGGCATGCATTCCAGCAGCTCCACTCATGTCTAACCAACTTCCAGCAGTTGAGTGAACGTCCCACCAAGCATTAGCTGAAGTAACCGAGTCACTTTTGATTCCACTATGGTGCGTTGCACTGGACATCGTATTGAAAGGCCAAGTTTCATATGGATGTCTAGAGTAAACCGATCCCAAATGATGGGCAGTAGCTGCTCCCTCTACTTTTCCCAATAGTGAACTCTGGTGGTGGTGCATATGAGAGTTATCTGCGACTGCAGGTTGAGTCGTAGCTCCTGGAAAGTAAAGGTCACTTCCATAGGATGCGGTGGTGGGAACACTGGAGCACGATGTCATAACTGGCCTGGAGTACGTAGGGTTCGAAGCCGAAGATCTCTGGAGAGAATTAGAAGATGATGAAACTCCAATTCCTGGTGATGGTGCTCCTTGTGGACTCTTTTTCCATGGGTGAAAGCCTTTTCCGACAGCAGCATCAGCCAAAGGAGGTGGTGACTTATTAGACAGCTTGTTGCATTGGGCTGCCAACATCGCCAGAGGGGTGCCCCGTAGGCTAGGGTGATCCTGAAACAAGAGAAAAGTTCATTGAAAACTAAACCACCGAAATGGNGTAGGCTAGGATGATCCTGAAACAAGAGAAAAGTTCATTGAAAACTAAACCACCGAAATGGAATATATGTAGCGCATAGTTCAGTAGTGATCAATAAATAATTCGAAGAATAGTGAAAAGACTCAATAGTTATGGTGTTACAGTAGCCCACTAAAAATTGATAGAAAGCACTGTAGAAATATATTTTAATTATGTAGACATACAACCACCGAACAAACAATAATGCCACTAGGCGTCTTTCATGAGCAGTATCTTCACCGCAGCTTGTCAAGATCTCACTCAAGTCAAAACGCCCTCTACTCATCGAACAATACAAATCAAATTGAAAGGGTCCGGTAGTAAAGCTTCTTTGAGAGTTGTTCTTTTATTAATTACCGCTTTTAATATTGCCGCCTCGTAGTACTCAAAAACGGTGAGAACGGTAAAAAAGCAAACAAAAGATTTTTGTTGATATGTTAAAATCGCGTTAGATGTCTTGATCACATTTGAGAAACATTAAATGAGGAAGCAACTTGAAGAACTAGCAACTATAATGAAAGAATAATACTTAGAATGAAGCTTCATAACATGAAAAATAATTTAACCACTACAATGTTTTCTGTATGTTTGTGTCTGTTGTTTTCTTATATGCCGCCCATTTCCGAAAGAGAGTGATTTCAAAGTGAACAAAAAATTATGAAGAGTGGTTACGTACCATGATACATAATTTGATTGAATGTAAGTACCTCAATTCTGGATTGGATGATATACAGAAAGTTCTTTATTTCTCATAACATGCTAGGGAGTTACTTTTGGGTTGATTTCAGGAAAAAAACTTCATTTGAATATATGTCCTGCAGGTCTCAACTTTTGAACTACAGGATGCTAAAGTTTTCAGAAAGAGTATCCTTTATGATTTTTATTTCATAAACTACACTTTACGATCTGATCTTTACAAACTTCATTTTCAAAAAATATATCACGACTTGTTTCGCTATCACATTAGCTTTTTTCAATGAATGGTAATNATATCTAACCCATAATTACGTGGAGGATATAAAATTAGAGTATATAATAGAATTAATTTGTTGTAATGCCATTTACAGCAAAAAGCTACTGTGATAGCGAAACAAGTCATGATATATTTTTTGATAATAAAGTTTGTGAAGATAAGATCGTATGTGTGGTTTATGAAATTACTATAGATCTTCATCAAGTAACGACCGAATCAATAAGAAATTTATGATATTATTTTTATGGTAAGACCATAGATATATTTGTGAAACGTATCTTTCTATGCATAAAAAAAAAAGTTTGCTGCTCAACATAATTTGTTATTTGTTAAAAATCGACAATGATGTGTGCAAAAACGGTTTACAAGATTCTTATTGTAATGTAAATGTTTCTTTTGTGAATGTTTTGCATACATAATTTAGATACAATAATTTCACTGAATATTAAATAAACTGAAGTATATTTGAGTATTAGTTTACAAGATCCCAGAATCTCCATTTCAACAGGGCTGATATTGGTCAATAATTAATATTATAGTCATTGTATTAGTAAAAGTATTAGTAAAGGTATTAGTAAAAGATGCGATTGAACTATTGTCACAATGTCGTTCATAATTAGCAGTGATTTGTTATCAAGATTCTAAATTCGATTGCAACTTCTCATTGCAAGATAACAATAGATTCCCTGATATCTGTAAAATCTACATATTCCAGTATTTATTGTCAAAATATTGGACTATTCATACGAGTTTCCCATTTCGATGAACAAATGATTCACTTTGAAAGACATTTTTTCTGAAGGAGTCAGTGTCCCCTGATGTTTTGTAAATTTTTAAATTTCCCCAATCTGAAAAATAAATAAATACTATGATTCACATTACCCATTAACTTACCACTGTGAGCTTTTAGTTTGATCGTTATGACACTTGAACAGATTCAGCTGGATTTATTCGTCTTCCAGATTGTGGATGATTAAAAAACCAGAAAACATCTACTTCTGAAATCTCATCAGTAAAGGACACATTGAACGTTGTTCACGAAACACATACTAATTGGGTGAACTGTTTAGTTTCATCAGTGAACAACAATAATCAATAAAAATCCCTCCCTGATGGGCGACTCTGAAACGTATTAAGTGCGAAGCTGCAGGTCCACACTACTAAATTAAGTCCATCAGACATCTATTTCCTTTTCGATTGAGCTCTATCCCCTTCACAAATATTTGCATGAAATAACGCTCACGGTCAAAATTAAAATCACGTTTATACCTGCGATCAGAAAATTTTACACGATTTAATGTTATTAATATTACATAATATCACTTCAATTCTTTTAATAATCTAAGAGTTCAAGTGACAGTTTGAGCTCTAAATGAAATTCATTTTCACTTAAAAAAACATCACAAAAACACAAATGTATTTATTTTTCCATTAATATATATTCAAGATTTGAGATTGAGGTTAGATTTGAACTACCAACAATTCAAGAGCTTGTATGGAATGGATCAATGGATTCAAATATATTCAAGAGATTTGTTGTAATGTTGTGTAAAGAAATATGTAGGAAATTCAACGGCATTGAACCTCATAATAAAAGTTTCATTAAAAAACTGAAACGTTTCATTATAACTGCAGTAGATATCTGTATGAATTTAATCATTAAGATTCTCCATGGAAGCGATAGATCTAGTTCGTATAGTTAATTCAAGAAACATGATTTACAGTCGTGTTTCCTGGTACAGATAACTTTCAATTAAGTTAGAGTACTGCTTGAATTACGTCTAAATGAAGTAATGAAGAAAAATCAAAACGAAACTGTAATTATGAGAACAGTCAGTAATTATTCCATTACTGTTGGAATTATCAAATGTATTTCATCTTGATATAAGGATACAAAACGAATGAAATCGAAGTGTTATTAATCTTAATAGGTAGTTTTCACTAGAAATATTGCTGAGCTATTATACAAACTGGTTGGGAAAAATAGTTACAGATTGAAATACCCACACCAAAAAAAGGGAAGTATATCGGATATCGATTATCAAGACAATAAAACATCCTCATCTACTCAAGAAAATTTACTTGTCATGTGATTTGAAAAATTAAGGTTGGTCCAACTGGAATTTTACAATTCTCGTCACTATTATAGACTACATTTGCACAAACTTGGATGAAGAACAGCTTTGCTATAGTATCTTTCCGGCAGGTCTTTCCGACCATAAAATTTCCATTGAGGTATTGAAGTTCTAATAAACAGTATTAGGATGGCAGAATATATAGAAGGATAACTAGAATTGTAGTGTTTGTAATCAGAAAAGGACTGTGTTGACGGATTCCATAATTGCTTACTTGAGGTATTTGAATTATATTTTCCTCAAAAAAATTGAAAGCAAAAAATAAAAATTGCACAAAAACTAATATCCAGAAACCCCAATCAGATCCATTAGGGTACTTAAAACATGAAACATGAACATGAAAAGGTTCAACTAGATCATACCGATACCGATATACATGAAGTGGAAGAAATATTCATATTAGATATTAAAAACATGAACAACGCAGGTCTTGATGGAATTTATATACATTTTTTATTTTGCCCTGAATGTACTTGCTGAAGCCCTAAATTCAAAGAAGGTGATACGGAAATTCCGGCAGATTTCAGAGGAAAATGATGGGTCTTAGTACGGAACCTTGAGAGACACCACTCTCTGATAGTTTGCTTTTCGTTTTTAGATCCAGTTCACAGTTTACACAAAAGAATCTCATGATCAACACATCCTTGGTAGAAATATTGCAGCTATATTATTGAGATTACTATAAACGTGTTCTAGCAACGAGAACATGGAATCATTTGTACTTTTCGATTTTTGGAAGCTGAACTGATATTTTTTTATTATTTCAAATGTGGAAAACTGCAAGTGAACAACAAAAATATATTTCGTTTCCATAAAAACTTCTTAACGAGTAGATTTTTCTCAAATTGAATCAAATTTCAGTCTCTGAGAAAAAGTCATTGTTTTGTTAACATCCCAATCTGTCTGAAAGCAAAATCAGAACTAAATGAATACATAAATTATCGTTTTTTTTCAAAATAAAATTCTAACGGTGGTTTTCATTCCGACTCGTTATATCACATCTGTTATTTGATCGTTATTTAGTTAATTATTTGTAAGGCCAGCGGACACAATGAGGGTTATTAGGAAAACTAAGGACGAAGTAATTTGAGGCACATCGAATGAGTGACATACAAGCGGTCAGTTTACAGCAATTATACCGACGCAAAAATGTGATACCGCCCGACTTCAGAAGAGAAACACGAGATGGCAGATCTGTTAATTGAATAAGATAGAATCGTCGCATTACCGAGAAAGAAACTCAACCATCAAAGTTTCATCAGCGAATGTTTTGTTTTTGGAAGTTTTCTACATCAGAAAAGATGAAGGTACCAAAAATCCACAAGGTGAAAAACATCGTCCCAAAACTTCAGAAGAGGGGATTGAAAAATTATTTTGAGATATCGTGATGGCCTTTGATTTTTCTCATTGAACTCAAAAATCAGTAGCATGTAATATACTTGAATATCCGTTATCGTATCCTGAGATTCCAGATTCGTTAGATTCACTATAACATATGAAATGATAAAATCGTATTTATCGAATAAGAATAATATATAGAACGATAGTATTCGGCAATTGGAGAATGGGATAGCTCATTATAAAAAAGTAAAATCGGAAACCAAAAGTCAAACAAGGTCGATTAAATTATTTGAAGTTTGAATTTCATTTTAGTTTTTTTTTTCAGACATTATTTAAGAAAACATTATAACAGCAAAAACGCTTTCTCATTGCCACTTTTCAAGATGACGTCTAAAGATTTTCAATCCAATATATCATATCCAAGAAACCATCACCATAATTTTGCATATGAATTTTGAAACGTCATTCATTCAAATAAGCTTTGGAA